CTTGGTACTTATATCCGTATCCATTTTGTTCTCAGAATTTGAGGTGCAGATGTTCTCTAAACTCAAATTTTTGAGATTCTTGTCGATGTCTTGATTCGTCGTATTATCTAGTTTACAAAAAGCTACACTAACAATAAGGAAGTTGAAGTAATTTTGGTTTAGAAAATCCGATTAAAGAAATTGAATTTATTGTTTTATATTAAATAAACTAAATTAATAAAAGTTTGATTTTATTATGTTTTGTTACTAAGAATAAACTTTACGAATCAAACTTAATATAAATAAACGGTCGACTTACTACTATATGATTTAGCCTCATCACCGACTACTGGCTTGTTTAAATCATTTTTTTCTTTTAGTTTGCTTAATGGCAAATTCGATTCCTCATCACTAGAATAATCACTACATGGTAGTGTAGCTGATGTATCATCATAGTCCTCATTTTTCTCTACAGCTATGACAGATCCAAAATACCATTTTTTTTTCATAGCACATTTTCACATAACTGCCTTCTTTTAGAGTTTTTGCCCAACACTACTAACTCTCGCGAATCCAAAATATTTTGTGTGTTGTCTCTCCATTTTATTAGAACATCCATTTTTGTTTGTTTCAAAAGCAATGAAAATACAAACCAAAACACGAACAAGTGCAGTAAATTGACTGATGTCTTCCGATATGAGCTAAATTTTAGCAAAGTCTATTTTAGTTTAAAACAGGTTTGGCGTGTGTCCGCAAAAAGGTGTATATTACTATACGCCAACGCAAGCTTCAAAGTCATATCTAAGAAAAAAATTTACAGGCGTATATGATAATACGCCTTTTAGGAAGATAATAATAATAATAATAATAATAATAAATGCCTTTATTAATACAAGTTGCAATATACAAAAAGAGGTAATGGTGGCGAGATCTAGCTATAAGCTACTCTATCTAACCATACATAGATAGATACATATTTGTTGTTTCGAAACATAGGTACGTCTTAAAGAAACTACTGGGAGTTCATATACGCCAATTAGAGGGCGTATAAATTTGATGTTTTGCGACATAAATTCCCTGAAAACGGAAAATCGCCTTTTTCTCATATACGCCCCTTTGTCAAATTAACGACGAATTATTCAAAAACTGGATATGGTATTGAATTCATACTAACATGGAAGATTAAGAGGGCTGTAACAAATAGGGTGACAGCAGCGGCATACACTCGATCGACCTACGAATGCAGATTTATACGAAATTATACAAAATTAAATAATTAGATGACAATTATTCAAAAACTGTACATGGGATCAAATTCATACTAACGGAGAAGGTTAAGGGGGCTGTAAGAAACAGGGTGACACCAGTGGCCTTCACTCGATCGATTAGCGAATGCAGATTTATACGAAAATATACAAAATTAAATAACCAGATAACAATTATTCAAATACTGTACATGGGATTAGATTCATACTAACGGAGGTTCAGGGGATTGTCAAAAACAGGGTGACACCAGTGGCGTACACTCGATCGACCATATTTTCGTATAAATCTCCATTCTTAGGGCGATCGAGTGTACATACGTTACTGGTATCACCTTGTTTCTTATAACCCCGTTAACCTCCCCCGTTAGTATGAATTTGATCCCATGTACAGTTTTTGAATAATTGTTATCTGGTTATTTAATTTTGTATATTTTCGTATAAATCTGTATTCGTTGGTCGATCGAGTGTACGCCACTGGTGTCACCTTGTTTCTTACAATCCCCTTAACCTTCTCCGTTAATGTGAATTTGATTCCATGTACAGTTTTTGAATAATTGTCCGAGTAATTGTCATCTGATTATTTACTTTTGTATTTTTCATAATAAATGCCTACTCGTAAAACTATTAAGTGAACTGCTCTGAAGTCAATGTGTATATTGCAGTTTCTTAATTTTTTTTATACGTACCTAGTTTAAAACCAAATATTATTGAATAATAATAAATGCATGTGTAATAAAAAATCCATTACCGAAGCCACTGATCGTTCGGGTATCTTCGGCATTTTATTGTCAGACAACTTTTGTCAGGAAACTTCACAGTGGTAAAAAAATCATGTAAAATTTCTATTAAATCACATTTGAAAGCTTCTGAAACATACTTCAAGAAATTAGAGGGATACTTCAAACTTTCAGGATTTATTGAGTGAGTAGGGTGGTAGGGCCTTCTTATCAAGCAAAACAAATCGCGAGCAGATCTTAGGCTCAAAAATGGCATATGTTTTTTTTCTGACTTAGATGCAGAAAAATCATACAAAATTTCTATTAAATCACATTTGGAAGTTTCTGAAAAATACTTCAAGCAATCAGAGGGAGTTCAAACCTTCAGGATTTATTGAGTAGGGTTTTTTGATCAAAAAAAAAAACAAATCGGGCTTGGATCTCAGGCTCAGAATTGAAATTATGTTTTTTTCTGACTTAGATGCAAAAAAATCATACAAAATTTCTATTAAATCACCTTTGGAAGCTTGTGAAAAATACTCCAAGCAATCGAAGAGTTTCAGGATTTATTGAGTATGGTCTTTTTATCGAACCAATCAAACCGGGAGTGGATTTCAGGCTCAGAAATGAAATTATAAATTTTTTTACCGAAAATATACCATACTACCTAATGCCTCTAAAAATTCGTTTTTATTCCCCTCCTTAAAACGTTTCATAAGGTTACCTACTTATCGTTTCACAGATACATCCAACATCCAACGCCTTGTGTTAAATAAGTTTCAAAATCGGTACAGGTTTAGGCGTTAAAACAATGGAAAAATTAACGTCCTCAAGATTTTGGATGGGCTTCGTCATTCCACAAACTCTGCACTTGTTGAAAAGCGCTTGGATCAGGATTTGCAAAATTCATCTGTCATCATTTAGTTTTTTTGTCCAATCAACCATTTGGATTTGAAAACTTTCAAAACATTTTTAATTCAAAAGACTGTTGATAACAAGTGTTTAGATTATTGGCACCTAAATTATTTGCGCCGTTGATATTAATTTTCCATGATCATTCCATTGATAGCTATTTTTTTCATTAAATGGATCATTTTATCCAACATTTTCGTCTGAGAAACGTCGATCTCATATTTAAGCAATGATGCTGCGATCACTTAAAGCTGTTGAATCAGTTCAGTTTTCTGAGGGCAACTACATTCATACCAAATCTGTTGTTCAAGTCGCTCTTTAAACAGTAGTTGTCATGATATTGGATACTATTGCGTGATAATAATATGTCTTCTGATCGATGCTTCTTTTGTATATTACAGACCCCTGAGAGAGTTTTAATAAATAAAGAAACGGGAAATGGAATTTGGAGTTTCATCTTCCATTGCCTGGTCTGCCCTCGACCTTTCTTCCGCTATATAATACCTACATCTAAATTCAAGGCCTTATTTATTCATACGACGTATAATCCATATATTGAAGGCAATCTGCAGGTGTAATAATAAAAATTGTTTTCTTGAAATCTGTGGATTACGACATCATAAAGTATAAGTACCTATTATATGATTGGCGTTTCTCAAACTGAAAAAAGCTTTGTTCCTATTTAATCTTTTAGTCCAATTAAGAAACGGGGATCTGAAAAGAGGGTTTACTTCAACATAATTAGAAGTTAACATTTTTTTTGGGGAATCGGTCCATTTTCATGTGCTAAATAACATATTAAGTTTGCGACCTTGTACTTCCATAAGGTTTTTAGTTTGCGCGCATTTGATGCAGCAGCGGCCGAATACATAATCGGATTTCAATTATTCAAATACCACATTATTGCTAATGAAATTCACTCTGCAATGCTTTTTTTCCGAATTTTTGGCTTGAAAATTAAGCGAGCACGAACTCGCTTAATGTGCAAGAAAGTTGTAAATTGCATCGAAAACTACCCCTTTCTTGCATTCACTGTAATTTCCAAACGGGGCCAAATATTTGGTGATGACAGTTTTCGACAATCGGCAGCCCATTTATTCCTCTCATAATGCCCCAGCAGAATTTTTCTTTCGTTAACTACTCAATGACTTATTCGCCTGAACAAGTCGCGCGGAATTTTTCAAAAAGTAAAAAAAAAAAATTCTTGCACAGCGCTGAAATTTGGTACGATTGCTTTATTTGTTGTTCTCATGAATATTCTGCAATTTTAATTGCTTCACATGACTGCTGGCTTACCTATATCACTATATTTATAAGAACAATAAATAAGACCATCGTACCAAATTTCAGCGCTGTGCGACAATCTTCATTTTTTTTGACTTTTTGAAAAATTCCGCGCGACTTGTTCAGACGAATTAGTCATTGAGTAATTAACGAAAAAAAAAATCCCGCTAGGGCATTATGAGAGGAATAAATGGACTGCCGATTGTCGAAAACTGTCATCAAATATTTGGCCCCGTTTGGAAATTACAGTGAGTGCAAGGAAAGGGTAGTTTTAGATGCAATTTACAATTTTCTAGTACATTAGGCGAGTCCGTGCTCGCTTAATTTCCAAGCCAAAAATTCGAACAGAAAAGCATTGGAGAGTGCAATTCATAAGCAATAATGTAGTATTTGAATAATTAAAATCGGATTATGCATTCGGCCGCTGCTGCACCAAATGCGCGCAAACAGGCGAAACGTTGATTCAGTGACCTTGAACAAAGACATGCTACTATTCAAGACGCTGCAGAAAAAAAACTATAGAAGATAGAGGGGTGCTGTCGCGTAGTTTCTTATAGCAAAAAACTTCAGCTACAACAATCATTTGAAACTTTACTATTGGACCATCCCTTTGAGCAGCGTTCTCCATAAACCGCAAATTACCCCTGAAAAACACCCCTAACTAAAAACCCTATGGAGTACAAGGTCGCAAACTTAATATGCTATTTAGCACATGAAGATGGGCCGATCCCCCCAAAAAAATGTTAACTTCTAATTATGTTGAGGTAAACTTCCTTCATTGCTTGGCCTATTTTAGTTCTTATCCACTTTATTTTCCTACAATATGACTAAACATTTATTTTAGCCCTCCATATTTCTATATACATAGCAGCAGCAGTGAACGCATTTATAACTTCAATGGCCGCAGGAAATATGTTTCAAACGTTCAAATACAACTGCATTCTATTCTGTAACGAGATGGCATTTGAAAAAGAAGTTGTCGCCAGTGAGACCTTTTTCATGACGCATACATTGGACCAATCGTCAGAGGAATCTGCCAATGGTACCGATGTATTAGTTAGAAATTTTACTGAATTTAGTTATAAAAATGAAACTCATATCTTCCATCAAATTGACGAGGAATCGATTGAGATAACGCAGGCAAAAATAGATATCAGGAAAACCATCTTTCCTAGGAGTTTTTGGTGCAACTATGTTTTAGGAATGGCTCTGGTGACTTTCATTTTTGCCACTTTTTGCTCCATCATTCTAGCCATGTGCTCTAGAGGAGGAAAGGGACGCAATAACACGTAAGAGTTATCAAATATATATATATTTTTTTAACCTAACTTGTATTTTTCTCTAGGTTGAATAGACCTCAAAATATGGTTTACCCCATTCTATTTTCAAGTATTTTGTTGGGGGTGCTAAATGCGGTTGCCTCTATAATGGTAAAAAATGGCATGTCGGCATTTTGTGCCAGTTTTGAACAATTCACAAACGACAAAAGCTGTTCTTCAGTAATCAACAAATTCACAATTCATGAAAGACAAGGAAATTTTTATCTGCCCTATGTAGTACTGTCCTACACGTTTAACGTTACAGTAATACTTTTCGTGGGGCAAATTATTGTCACATTTCTAAGGATTATTTATGCTGTAGACTATCAATTGTATGCCCTAGAAGTTGACGAAAATACAGAAGAAGAAGACAGGCACAATTTTGACGTGGAAGATGGACAGATCGTTAGGGAAAGAACTTTGTAGATTTTTTGTACTTAAAACACCATATCCATGAATATATCATGTTATTTTGCTGCAGAAAGTATTGCGAAGAAGAGACATTACTAGAAAAATTAACTTTCTAGGTACCTACACATTACATCCGATTTTGTCGATTTATTTAGAGACCTTTCTAATTTTTGTGAATAATTTGATGCTGCAAGTTGCAAAATCTTTTTTAACGTGCAATGGACATGTTAGGTAATTGGGCCCAATTAATATGTGAATGTTAATAAATAAATCATGTTGTACAATGAAGTTTTTTCATTTGAGTTTAGAAAGACATAATCAATTGAGCGCTTATAAATTATGATTTATATGAAATTCATTAGAGCTCTGTTTTTTTCATTTATTATTATATAGGCAACAATATTCGGCTGATCAGACAAAATTTGTCAATAGAGAAAAATATTTTTCGCTTTTGAATGGATCTTTATCTTGCTGCTGTATGCCCAGAGTCAATCGTGTCAGGAAATCGGCTATTAGATTCTCAAGGCCTAATTCAAAACGAGATCTAAACTATTTAAAGAATGTTTGGAAAACAAAATAAATACTAGAAGAACTCGAGAATCACTTTTTATTTTTCCCAAAATATTATATATTATACTACAATAATGCCAAAACCAATCATTTACAATTAAAAAAAAATCCTCAACTTTAGCACTTTTTTTTCTCCTATTTCCAAACATGTTGGAAAAAAAAATATATAGCTTCAAAATGTACCTATACATTCCAGTACGCAGTACGCTTTTTATTTGTTCTGAAATTTTTATATTAACGCCACCAGAATCCCAGAACCAACTAGGTCATTCACAAAAAAAAAAAAAAATGTTTCCAACTTTTTCTTCTCCTATTCCAAAACAAATTCTTGAAACAAATACCTATTTTAGCTTAAAATATCTACTTTCTAAAATAATTTTTATTTATTGAAAATATCAATGCCACTTAAGGGCCTATTATAGTGCTATACTAATGCAATATTTCAATTAATGTTGGTGGCAGAATTAACACTATCCACATTTAAATATTTGTCGAAGAGATAGCCCTTGCAGGCTCCAACACTCCCATGGGGTCTTCCAGCATAAGACTCTTAGACCACTTGGAGTAAGACAAATAGTACCAGGGCTGGGATACCTAAGTGTTTTGGTCCAGGTACCCTGATTCAGGAGACATAGTCAATTATCCAGTTTAAATTTATAGGATCATAGAATGCTGTGTGGGAACTTAGGCGTTGGGATCTGTACAAGGGAAGAACTCCACAAACAGCACTTTTTTTCAGTCAAGTACCTAACAAAACTTAAAAATTAAAATATTCTACAAGTACTGAACATTGGTCATAACAGTTTCGGTGATAGCAACAATAGGCTTGATTTGATGATGGGGGTTTGCATGCCTCTTGAGAATTTATTTCTGATGTTATTTCAGATACTTCTTGTCAATCGGCTTCTCGCTCCTGCCTTTCACGTAAGATAGGGCGAGCGTTGAGCTCTGTATCACTGGTCATGAAGTAGTTCTAGCTGAATCTCAAATTTAGGGAACTCATGAGATCTCATCATTCAACAACTATAAAATTCCTCGAGAAACAAAGTTATGACTAAAAATTTGACAAATAAATACGAGACTAGTGGGCCAGACATTTTCTGAGTGCTAAGACAAAGGACATGATCGCAGAATTTAAAGTCAAGAGCTTGAACATTTCTTCAAACTAATATTCCTTTCACTAACCTTCAAATAAAAATAATAAATAAAATACACAAAAAAAACCTTAAAAACTAAATGGAGGATGTTTAAACTACACTCAATTTTGAAAAAAATAACCAACACCCAACACCAATAACAAAAAATACATAAATTGTAAACAAAACAATTTCTTTCATGATACTTAAGTACCTAGTTTAAAAATTTCTTTGCCAAATTTTTTACCCTGTGATTTTCAGTTGTAAATAATCACAAACTTATTTTCTTTTGTTAATATGGTTTCAACTTAGAGTGGGTAGATTTATCAGTCCAAAACAAAATAGTTATCACACTTATGTTGCCCTAACATATGAACAAAACTGAAACAATGTAAGAATAAATAAATAAATTAAGACATAACTAAATCTAACCTACCTTTTTCATTGCATCACAATCTACACAAAAAGAATAATATGGGAATGAACGCCCCTATAACAATAAATACTGGTAACATTATAGAAGATTCTTCTTCTGGCTCATAGGCATCTGGAATAGTTGGTAGGCTACGTGGTCTAGTTTGAGAAATTTCTTCTTCTTCTAAGTCTTCTAAGTCCAGCTTAGGCAGGTCCGGATTTTTCACATCTTGACTAACTGAAGGTGGCAGCTTTGGCACATCATCTATAGTGCCTTTCATTAAATAAAAGGCATTGATTTTAGGGTTATCTTTATAGCCTTTGATAAACTCCACTTTAACTGTATTTGCTTGAATCTCAGATTCTTCTCCATTTGTGTACAGTTTTCCTAGAATAATTAAAATTATTATAAAAAGAAAAAACACACGCCAAAAGACTTACCCTGATGAATTTCAAAAGGCACATATTCATCGTGGGCAACACCTCTATCGACTTTTTCAAATATATCTAAGTCAGCTACTATAGTGTGTTCTCCATTAAGTACTACATCAAAAACTTTTTGGTCTGGGGACTCAAAGTAAACTTCACAAAATTTAAGTACCAAAACATAGTCTCCGTCACCAGGAATATAGAGATCGTATCTGAAAATAAGTAGAAGTTGAAGATCCATTAAAAAAAATGAAACTTTATTGAATCAGCGCCAGATTGATGACAGTGGATAAAGAGTTTAAAAAAATATAAATAATGAAAACAAAACCCAGTAGTTTTTGTCATTCCCAAATTGAAAACTTTGGATATATCAGGTAAGACAAAAAAACAAATTGATTGATTTAGGCAAGGATTTAGGTAATCAAAATCCTGTTAGAAATTTTCATAGTTGCTGTTGCAGTTTTTCTGTAGATGAAGACATAACTCCGCCAAAAATTTATATTAGGTAGGTAGTTCAAGTATCCTTAATTTTGTTCCTTATACCAGCTAATACTTTGAGAGCCACAATGGACCTTGTCAATAGAATCTCCACCAAAATAAATACCAAAAATTTTGTTATTGCGCTATTTGAAGATTCGGAAAAAGTCTTTGATTTGGTTAGCCAAGAGATTATACTTAGACAATTGAAAAATTAGGGTTTTCGTGGTCTAATTTTCCAATTTTCAAGAAATCAAATACTACAAAATAAGATTTTGAAAGTACAATTTAATTCTTGTCGACTATCCATGCAGATACTATGTGCAGGAAATGGAGAGTAATGCAAATAAATAGATTAAGAGACTTGGCACAATGTAAATATATTTAGAATATAACACATACCTAACAAACGAAAATTAAACTCTGGAATTGTATACACAGATAATGTTCACAATCACCTTGCAAAAAACTATAACATCTACCATTAATTGATTTTCTTTTTTTCAGACTTTTCTTTGGCAGTCCTTTATTCTTAACTAGTACTACTGCTACTACTCTAATATACCAAAACCGAGGGGTTTTTCACCTTGTTAATCGGTGTACAAATCACTGGTTAATATATGTCAATACCAGATAAATACTATGTCAATACTATGCAATACGTACTTGTTAATTATGTTGGTAATATAAGTCAATACTTGTAGATATCTAGGAAATATATGTTAATGTCATCGGTTGATACCCATTAATAACACGTAAATAACTAAATACCTGTGGATATGTGAATACCTAGAATTCTGGCAAGACAAATATTTGATTTTAGTCTGTCAATAGCATGGCAATACCTGGTGATATGCGATAATACTAGGGAAATACCTGGCAATATGTGGAAATATTTTGTTAATACATGGAAATAGTGGGCAATAACTTGTTATTAGGTAAATAGAAATATCTGTTAAAACATGGAAATATCTCAGTTAGTACTGTTAATCGGTGTACAAATTTTGTTAGGTGATAAACCCCTCGACCGAAACCTTGTAAAATGGATTTTGAACATACCCAAAAGTACTTGTGTGATACCGTTCAGTCTGGTACAAAATCTGATCATTTGCTGGTACTCTCCCAATGAGCAGCCTTTTACCATAATCTGAAGCTATTCCAATTTTACCAGCTAAAGGGTCCCTTTCGTATCTGATTCCATTGGTATCAGTATGGGCTTCACCTCCAGCATTGACTGCATAAATCACTTGGCCTACACCTTGTGCTTGACGAAATATGGATAAGAAAACTATAAATAGGGGGTATCTAAAATATTTTCTGGAGAGGTACATTTTTTTTTAACCAAAAATAACACGTTTCTGAAATAAGTACTTGAAAGGTTTCTGTTATCACCGCATATTATTTGATTTGTTTTGAATTTATTTTTTGGATCTCCTCTCACTTCGCCCTTTGAGCCAAAAAAAAGTTTTTGAGGTTAGTGAGGATACGCCACATACAATGAACTGCTACGTTCCATTATTTTGGTTGAATTTCTTTTTCATCGCGGAACACATTTTTGAACACATGCCCTTCGAGTATACTCCGAATCATTCTGACCAATTACTCCCAAAACAGCGCAAGGATTTATTAAAACGAACTCGACCTGTTTTTGCAATTTTGATCCAGAAAATTCCTTCATCCGGAGGGAAACAAGTTATATCAGCGGGCCATTCCAATTTTTTTTATTTCGGAACATAACTTAAGGCTATTTTTCGCGACATAATTATCCCAAGATTATGTTCGCTTATGCTGGGCAAAGCTCAAATTACCGAGGACAACCCACATAATACATAATCGAAAATAATCTTTGGAAAAATGATGTCGCGGTTCGGAGCGGTTTTGATTGGTGCAAATTGCCAACAACCAGTTTTCTGACTTTTTCAACAAATGAAATTCGTTCAAATAGGTTTGTGATTTCTGTGAGAAGAACCGACATCGCACAAGGATCATACACACCTACAGAATTGCTTACCGGCCTCGTTTTTGGTAATCGCCGCCATATTGGTGTGAAACCATTTCGACGTCATAAATAAGTCGTCAGCAGTTTGAATAGCCTACGTGAAGGCCAAGGTTCCTAAAGTTCATAGGTTGTCTGGTAATGGGTAACTTGATGACGCATTTGGAGTGCCTTATGGAGATTTGCATTGGGTTGAGGCACCCCAGATGACGTCATAAAGTTATCAGGCATCCTACCTCTCCCCATTAATCTTGCGTGAAGGCGAGAAATAACATGCTGCCTACGTCCCAACTGGTGATTAAGCCAGGAGGGTGGGGGGAGAGGGGATTTGTTCCACACAGGCCTTATGAGGATAGGCAATCCTGTAGTAGTAGTGTGTATCATCCTTGGACTTCGCATACCATTTTCAGATGGAATCGGCCGGTTATTATAGTATGAGAGGTGCATTCCATTGATCCAGTTACGTTACTCCAGAGCAGCTCCTGGACTGGGATCACGACAAGTAGAATTTCACTAGAATTCTACTTTTATGACGTCAGGATGTCTAGCAACCGTCATCATCGCCTGTACTACGCGATAAAATAGGTCTCGGGTGACGTCATGAAAGTAGAATTCTACTTGTTGTGATCCTAGCCCTGGAGTGCTCCGGAATTACTTTGCGCATTCCAGTGCTTAGAGTGTCGTACACTAAAACCAAGGATGATACATACTACCACTACAAGATAGCCTATCCTCATGAGGCCTGTGTAGAACTAAATGTGGAACAAATCACCCCCGCCCCCCATAGCCCCACCCAAGCCAAATCACCAGTTGTGATGTAGCCAGCATGTTATTTCTCGCTTTGAACAGCTGACGACTTATGTCATCGGAAATGGTGACACACCAATATGGCGGCGATTACCAAAAACGAGGCCGATAAGCAATAATCCCGTAGGTGTGTATCATCCTTGAAGAAAGAGTAGCACCCCGGACATTTTCGAACTAGCGTGAAAGTCAACCGGAGTTTATACCAGGCAATTTTTCGCGAGGATAGCCAAGCATAATCTTTTGCTGGATTATGTGATGTATCATTTGTGTCATACTCCCCTAGCTCCCCCACCATCAAATTCTGGGATACTCGAGGATCTAGAACACTTAATTTCTTCTGTAACCGAAAATCACCTTTTCTGCATTTAATATCTAGGAAAAAATTAACTCACTAGCACAGCCTGGATCGCAAGCATTCCATCGAGGTCTGCGGGTGACGTCAGCGCTATAAGTTGCTGGTAGTGACGTCACTCGCAAGCCCAGAATTTGATGGAGAGGGAGTTAGGGGAGTATGACACAATTGACACATCACATAACCCAGCATATTCGGATTATGCTTGATTATCCCTACCAATTTATTTTCGAACGGCTGGTGTGCACTCGGTGTGACGCCCAGACTGATTTCGAACGCAGTCTTGAACGGTTACATACAAAAAGATGGTATTTTAATTCCACAAGTGACAGATGATCCAAGCGATCCTGAAGATTTTCCTATAAGCCATGTAATTGCTAGACAATGCTTGAGACAAACGGTTTGTCCCTGTAGAAGAATGGAATTAAGGTGCTGTGACTTTTGTAAATGTAGAATTAGTGTTTCGGACCAATGCAAGAACCCTCATACATAATAAGTAGTGGTTTTTCAATATCTAGTTTAATTTGTTGGTAGTGTTCAAGGTTGCCTGATAAGTTTTATGACGTCATCTATTTGCCTCAACATAATGCAAATCTCCATAAGGCACCCCGGATGCGTCATCAAGTTACCCATTACCAAACAACCTATGAACTTTAGGAACCTTGGGTAGTGTTGGTACTATGTTAATAGCTGCTTTTTTTCTAACACCTACCTCAGCTAACCCAAGTTGTTCTGATGTAAATAACCGTTTTTTCTAATATCTTAGGTAATGTTTATGTCAGTCGAAATTACCTCCCCCCTTGCCTACGCCAAGGATACCGGATTCCTAAGACAAGACAATATGTGCACAAAAAAAGCAGCTAATGATTTGCATGCACCTACTTATTTCAAAAACTACGTCCTTTTACAAAAAAAGTTTAATTACAAAATTTGTTTGCCTTCTAAAAATGAACAAAAAGTTCATTAAAAAATCAAAATCGGAGCAATGTGTACGGAGATGTAATCTCTGTTCTAACCGACATGAGAACAGTTACTAGTTGTATTCCTTTCAAGAGCTTGAAACACTCGAGCTACTCGCTTCGGTGTTTAGTCGCCCCCGATTTGCAGTGAACAGATGCGTGGTGCATCAAACACTTTTCGAAAGGAATAAGCGCGTGAAGCCCCGGAGCTGTTCCGGAGCTCCTCCGAGGTGTGAAAGGAATACAACTATTCTAGAACCAGTAATTTCCAGTCGCCCCACCTATTTTTCAATAAGCCGAACGTTTATCCTACCTGACAAATGAATTGATCGACTGGGAAATTACCGTTCTAGAACGGTTCTCATGTCAGTTGGAACAGAGCTATAGTCGAACAGAAACTCTACCAATATGGTGGCCATTTTTAAATATGGCGACCAAACGACCATGAAACCAAACCAATGAATTTTAAGCTCCTATAGGTGTTTAATAAAGCCCTGCTCAAAAACCTAGGGTACATATAACTGCACACGTGACATGAGGTAGCGCTCGTGCTATAGCTAGCACATGGCCTCTCAGGGCCAGTTTCTCAATAGCAAGTCACCTCCGGGTTAAGCATAACTCCAGGGTAAACATTGTAACTGGACACGTTTACCCTGGAGATAAAACCAACCTTTATGGTTGAAAAGAGGGTAGGATGCGAGATCTTTGCCTTTTTATTTGGTTTTAAATTTGAAACGGAAACCCGAATTTTAGTATTGTTGTTGGTACGGAGCAACAAACGAATGAAAGTCGTGTTTACGTCACTCTGATAACAAAAAAAAATCAGGATAACAGTTAACAGTGTGATTCTAAAATCACGGTTTTGCTCATTAGGGCGGGTATTTATTATAAAATTATTTTGAGAGAGAACTAAAAGTTAACTTCTGGAATTACTAAGGGCGGGTATTATAAAACTGCTTTGAGAGTTAACTTGAAGTTAACCCGAAGTAACCCGCCCTTAGGGCGGGTATTATAAAACTACTTTGAGAGTTAACTTAAAGTTAACTTCTGAAAATACATGTAATTGAAAAAGTTAACTTCAAGTTAACTGTCAAAGCAGTTTTATAATACCCGCCCTAAGCAATTTTTCGCGAGGATAATCAAACATAATCTGATTATGCTGGGTTATGTGATGTGTCAATTGTGTCATACTCCCCTAACTCCCTCTCCATCAAATTCCGGGCCTGCGAGTGACGTCACTATCAGCAGCTTATAGTGATGGCGTCACCCGCAGACCTCGATGGAATGCTTGCGATTCAGGCTGTGCTAGTGAACTAATTTTTCCGTCGATTTTAAATTTAGAAAAGGTGATTTTCGGTCTGTTCTCACAGAAGAAATTGAGTGTTCTTGATCCTCGAGTATCCGAGAATTTGATGGTGGGGGGTTAGGAGAGTATGACACAATTGACACATCATATAATCCAGCAAAAGTTTATGCTTGATCAGATCACCCTCGCAAAAAATTGCGTTCTATGAGAAGTAACGTCATTCCAGAAGTCAACTTTTAGTTATTCTGTCAAAATAGTTTTATAATACCCGCCCTTGAAATGCTGCCTTTGCCAAAAATGGTAAAATCAATAACCTTTGTTCTAACCCAGCAGGAAACCGTAAATTTCATTGTTAGGATTCTGCAAAAAACCTATTTTTTTTGACGGGTGGAAACAGACATAATAGGCCTATTCGGGTTTGGAAAAAGTACGGTTCTAGAACGGTCCAGAAGAATCGCACAGTTTATTATTGAAATTTGTGATAGTCGAGTCGTTGTTATTTTGTTGATCAATAAACTGGACGATTGTTTTGAACCGTTCTAGAACCGTCCCTTTTCCAAACCCGAATAGGCCAATTAATTCACTCGGAACTCATTTTACTACTCCGAATATGTACGCCCATGTGAATGAGTAGACGAATCATTTGGGGTGTTTTCTCGCGTCTAAAATGTTTTACGTTTTTCAAAACTAGTTTATAAAACAGTGTTACATGACTAAAAAACTTCTCGATGCGAGAAAATGGTTCGGAAACGTGGATTGGAATGTACCTATTTCGAAACGGTTTGAGCCAATTCTGATGTGACGTCATGGGTTCATCGCAAGAATATACTGTTTAAATCTGTTTTGAACCAGTTTAAAAAAGTGAACGCGAGAAAACAGCTAAGAATATCCCTATTTATTTTGGCTGAGTTCGGCTTTGCACTCTACGGTATGAGTATGGATATCGTGACGTCATACGCAGATTGCGCCGTGAACAGGTCGTAAGCCGAACTGCCGAACGCAGATCGATTAGAAAATCCTGGCCGTGTTCGTATTATTGTCATATTTCTCATCGATTTGCTCCGAAATTTTGACAGGCACGTTATTGGATCAGAGAGTTTCAATTTAGAAATAGTTGTATTCCTTTCACACCTAGGAG